CCCCCCCCCCCCCCCCCCCCCCCCCCCCCCTTCCGTAGGGCAGGTCTCACGTATTCCCCAGCCCCCGGGGCTGGTAGCAAACCCAGGGGTGGGAGCAGGGGCCGGCAGCCTGGGCTATGGGAAGTGACAAGGCCCCGGGCGGGAACTGGAGCCGAGGTTATGGGAGAAGATGTTCGGGAGCAGCAGGGCCGAGGAATGAACAGCCAAGTGCTGGTGGTGCCACACGGAACAATCCCCTGGCGCTGAGGTGAGAGATTGGGTAGAAATCCCTCCCTGTGAGACTGACGTGGCCCTGGCACAGGTTGCCCAGAGAAGTTGTGGCTACCCTATCCCGGGAAGTGTTCAAGGCTAGGCTGGATGGGGCTTGGAGCAACTTGGCCTAGTGGGTGGATGGTGTCTCTGCCCATGGCAGGGGGTTGGAACGAGATGAGCTTTAAGGTCCCTTCCAGCCCAACCCATTCTATTCCATATCCTGTTTAAAGTATGGTGCTGGTGCTTAAAATGTGACCTGGGATGCCAAAAGCTCATAATCTGAATGAGTAGGAGCTGGAGTAAGAAATGAATACATGGATAACAGGATGTGGAGTTGCCCATAACAGGGCTCTGCTGGGACTCTTGGTGAGCAGTGTATCCATAAGAGAAAGGCAGCAGCAGTCACATAGCCAAAGGTGAGAAGCAGGCAGAGTGAGGAACCTGTGAGGTTCAGTCCTGCAGAGCTTGATGGGTGCTGAGCCTTCACATAGGGTCAGGGATCAGGAAGCCCTTTAGAAGAGAAGCTCTGGAGACCCTGTGGATGCCAGCCCTGAGGGCTGGAGTCCTGGAGAACCTTACACTGACCCACCTGGTCTCCCACCGGGCAACCCCAGCCCTGCCCCATGCAGGAGCTCTTGAGTGGCACCTGCAGCAGCCTGGAGCATGATGCCCTGGTGGGTTCACGGACCCTGGGATCCCACAGGCAGCCCTGGGCCTGGGCTTCCCGGTTCCCAGCGCTGCCCTTCGCTCAGCAGGAAGGGACCAGCTGTTCTGCAGAGAACTGGACACCAGCCAGGGCCTGAGTTCAAACAGAGCCCATTAAATGGCTTTTTCCCCCTTCCTCCGCGTTTCCAGCCCTGTTTGCAGCCGTGGTTCTATTTATAATGCCCAGGAAAAGCAAGCTGAGACTTTCCCACAGTGCCGGCTTCTCAGGCGATTGTTGTTCGGGAAACTGGAATGTTCGTGGTATTATTTTTGTATCCCCCTGGGAAGGGTTTGTGTTTTTTATTGTGGGTCCCCATCTGTGCTGAGGAGGAGAGTGTGCGAAGCACGAGGTCTCTAGTGCTGCTCATGGCTCTCAGACACATTGATGAGGTGCTGCTGGATTGGGTGTCTGTGCCCATGAGCCAGGGGGCGGGTGATGGGTGCTCTGAGAGATGTCCTGGTAGCCATGGGGCTGGAAGCCAGAGGGGTGTCGCTGGTAGCCCCCATCTCCATGCCAAGCCCATCATGTCACTTGTTCTGTGCCTCAGTGTCTCCCAGGCACAGAGGAGGGAACACGGAGAATCCTGCTGGGAACAATGGGCTCATCAATTCCTACCCTGTCTGGGGTTTCAGGATCAAGATGTACCCTTACGCCGTAGTTTTGGGGTGGCAGAGCAATCACATAAGTCTGGGCCTGACAGCTGGGCTGTGGTGTCACTGTTCATGTGGTGCTGCTGCCAGCGGAGGCCAGTGGGCTCCTTTTTTGCCTTTCTTGGCCATGTGAGGACATTCCCTGCATGGAGTTGCTCTGGGATATTCTGGGCACGGCTGGACTGTGGCAGTTCTGTGCTGCTCCTGGGCTCCTCCACCCCTGGGCAGGCAGGTATATCACAGAGAAAAACCCACTTCACTTGGACTCTGAGGTCCTGCCTGTCCTCTCCCTTGGCACTGGCACTGGCAGGGCTGCCCACAGCACTCCTGGCTCTCCCTTTCCCTGCCCTGCAAGGCCCTGCACTGCTTCATTCCTACCTGTGCTGGGGATTCTGACGTCCTTTGGTTTTACTGACCTGCCCACGACTTTGGCAGTGAGAAATGCTTTGTGCCACATTTTTGGGTGGTTTCTTTTTGCCGTAGCCAGTCTGATGAAGGACACACACACCTCTGAATAGCTTTGCCAGGTTTGGGGATTGATTATCCCAAATTCTAGTTGCGGAACACAGGACATCTGCAACCTCTCTGTTTTAGAGGCTTGTGAAAACTAGTTGAGCATCTCCTTAAATATCTTCATTAATTATTGTGGCTAATTGTGGACTATGTAGCTCTTAAAATACTGTCCATTGGGACAGACTACAGAGAGAAGTGGTAGGTTTTTCCACAGCTGGGGAATGGAGACCCAGAGCTTCTCTGTGCCTGGAGGTGGTGACACTTGTGGATCCTGGAGCTGGTGACACTCATGGGCTGGGGCTGGGCAGGAGGCTCCAGCCTCTCAGAGCTGCCTGATGTTGGCATGGAAGCTCTTAGATGGGAGAGAGGCAAGCTAAGGCAACAGGAAGATGATCACTCAGTCGCAGCCTTGTTGCGCACAGGGCTGACAGCAGAGACACTGCCCGGATGTTCAGGACCACAGAGGCAAGTGGGGTCCCTGTGGGATGGGCTGTCCCTCCAACATTCACTCTGTGCTCTTCCTTGGCTGTAGTCCTGGATCTCCGTGTGAGTGAGAAAGCTCCTGGAGCGGGTTCACCCCCTCGACGGCTTTGTGGCCATGCAGTCACAGGGGCTCTCGCTGACCTCGCCATGGTGCGGTCACTCAGATAAGGGAAACTGCAGCACTGCAGGGGGGGTTGTACCAGGGAAGCGGTGGGATGCAGCCCTTCCCTGTGCCTGTTCCCCAGGGATTACCACACATTTGTCCCTCGGCTGTGCCCTCCTTGTGGGAGTGGAGGCTGGGAGTGTGTATGGTGGGTATACCGGGTCATGCTGACACAGTTCCTTGGTACCTGCAGCAGTGCTGCATAGCTGGCTGTGCTTAGAAGTGTTGCCTAATGGAAAACACTTCCAGAGGTTTCCAAAGAGGGAAAAGGATTGGTAGCTTTAAATGTAATTAATACCCTGTAGTTATTAAAAACATCATTAGAAGTGTGTCATTCAGAACTTTCTAGGGCTGGACATGTATCCAAGGATGGAATTATGTTTTTGTCAGCACCTTTTCATCCCCCTTCTGTGATTGCTTTTTTTTTTTTTTTTTTTTTTTTTTTTTTTTTTTTTTTTTTTTTTTTTTTTTTTTTTTTTTTTAACGTGAGGATCTTTTTTCCTAAGGGAAAAACAAAAATTAACACTGCCAAGGAATTTTGTTTTGTTTTCATACCTCAGTCCTCCCAGCCCTGCTGCCAGCTCCATCTTCCTGTGCTGACATGTCTGTGTCTGTTATAGCCTCAGCAGCACCAGGAGTTTTCCTGGGATTTTGGCTCCCGGTGTTTTGAGGTGAGCTGTGGATAAATTCCCTAAAGCCGGCCCATCTGTGCAGCTGGAATTGTGTCTTGAGTGCCCATCTCCAAGGTGGATTTTAATTGAGCAGTTGAATTGGTTGGTGTCACTCACCCGTGTCTTTGATCTGCTTCACATCTGTAACAACAAACAAGGTTCCTTCCAGGCCACGCCAATAGTTTTCTGCTCTCCCTTTATATTTCCAACAGGATGAGTTGATTCCTTGGCAGACCTGCCTGGAGCTGGGGGTCAGTTTAAAGGCATGTTGCTGACATCAGTGGCTTTCTTTTTTAATGAGCTTTGTCAGAATTCGTTCTTTAGCCATTAAGCGGTGCCAGCGTGGAGTTCATGCATGAGCTCAGCTGAAACCTGCTCGGTGTGAATTAGTGATGGGGGAAAAGCAGGTCAGGGAACGTTTTGTTTCAGAATGCTGTGATAACTGGTGTGTTCCAAGACCTGGAACCAGGGAATGGGCAGAACATAGAAATCACAGCAAGGGATGAATTCCCGCTGCTGTGCCATGAGGGAGTGTCGCCCCTCCTTATGCCAGTGGGATGTATGCTGGCGCCAAGGGAAGATGTTCCCCTGTGGCATGAATCTGGGGGTGTTGGATGGGCTGAGGAGCTGGATGGTGTCAGGAGATGAGCTGGTGATGTGACGTGGTGGCCCAGCATGAGAGGGCCTGTCATGGACTTGTGTCACTGATGAGCTCTGTTCTCCTGGAGGGTGCTGTGTGCCAGTGCCAACACCTTTGGAGAGGGCTCTGCTGGGATCTACCACTGCAGAAAACATGCCAGGGAGAGTCCATGGCTGTCCTTCTAAGCACCAGTATTGGGATGAGTTGCCCAGGAGAGGCCAGCAGGAGTTTTACTGGCAAACACTGAGAAAAGGCAATTCCTCCACCTGTGGTGATCTGGCACAACAGAACCAGGGAATGGTGTGTGATTGAAAAAGTAATCTATGACATACAGAGCCTGCAGCCTCCCCGGGAACATGTAGGTGGGAGTTTGAGGCATGTGGCTCCCAGCTCCGGCCTGTGTCAGCCCAGCTGGCAGCGAGGAACACCTGCTGGAGCCAGGGTTCACTCCAGAGGTCACCTCTTCCTCGGCCAAAAGTAATACTTGTGTGATTCCCTTCCACTGCCTGTAGCTCCTCTGCGTCATCCCTGCTGCTCTGTGCCCGGAGCTCTTTTCCTTGGCTGCTCGTCGAGTAGGACACACTCCAGGGTACTCAGTGCAGCGTTGGTGGGTGGCACAGAGACAAAAAGGGGAAAAATCAAGGACAAATTGGTGAAAAGGAGCATACAGGAAAGGCC